TCCAAAGTGTACTCTGTAGACCACCAAAACCCAGGGAGCAAGTGTTGCATACAACATCTCTCTCTTAGAAAGTTAGTTATCTTAGGCAGCTGTCTAGCTGTTTCTCCATTCAAACCTTCCCTTTTGGATAGAGGAAAGTGCTCTTAAGACTCAGTAAGCTAAAGTCAGAGTGCGTTATAGACTCAGGTTGCCTGGTATGGTAGCACATGCCTTTAGCACTTGGGAAGCTGAGGCAGGTGGACAGCTATAACTTCCAGGCCAGCCTGGTTGACTTAAGAGTGTTCCAGGACATTCAGGACAAGCTACATGCATAGACCTTGTCTCAAAAAAAAAAAAAAAAAAAAAGGAAGAAAGAAGGAAGGAAGGAAGGAGGGGAGGGAGGAAGGAAAGAAACATGAAAGAAAGAAAGAAAGGAAGAAAGAAAGAAAGGAAGGAAGAAAGGAAGAAGGGAAGAAGGAAGAGAAGAAGGAAAGGAAGGAAGAAAGAAGGAAGGAAGGAAGGAAGGAAGGAAGGAAGGAAGGAAGGAAGGAAGGAAGGAGAGTCCAAGTCCCACCCCCTGACCCCTCCACCCCAGTTTTAAAAGCGGCAAACGATTGCTGGGAGAGGAGACTCTCCATGGTGTAGTGTGAGCGCTGCACAGAGAGCTCCAGAGATGTAGCTCTTACTAGCTATCACCAGTTCTAGTGTGTGCTGTCTGTGAGGTATCTCATGTTACCCATACTCCTGTAGGTAACACCAGAATTCACTGACTCATCAAGCTAGATCTGGATGGAGGTCTCTTTGGATGCTAGTGTCCTATTTGGTATGATCATGTCTTTATCTGACCATGGAACATTGTCAACATCTGAAAACTTACTGATCCTTGAAACACATTGGCAGATAAAAGTTCCTGGATGGGGACATGAGCCACAGTTGTTTCTCCAAGGCAGGTACCTTGGAGATACCCCGACTGCAGCTCAGTATGTTCCCACCCAGGGCTCTATGCTCAGTCTGGCTAGTAGCTCTCGGGAGTCTCATAATTCAACCAACTTCAGTTGACAACTATTCCCAAGAAGGCACAGGCCCAAAAGAAAATAGCCTGCTCCCATGTGAAAGCCTTAGTTAGAAGGTCTGCCCAGTATGACTTCTCCAGATGCTATAACCCTTCTCCAGGCTTGCAGAGGACTCTTTCAAAATTCCCCAGGGGTATGGTCAGGTATCTCAACCTCTCCTCTCACAAAGGCCCTTGCCTGCCTGGACACCAGGCACATTCACTCCAGCTTCACATGCTGGTTTGCAGCATCTTTTGTGACCTTCGGCCTTTCCTAGGTAGTCATGTAAATGCATTAAGGGATACAACAAGTTTGAGAATGGCAGGAAGCGCTGGGCGGTGGTGACACATGCCTTTAATCCCAGCACTTGGGAGGCAGAGGCAGGTGGATTTCTGAGTTCAAGGCCAGCCTGGTCTACCGAGTGAGTTCCAAGACAGCCAGAGAAACCCTGTCTCGAAAAACCTAAAGAAGAGAGAATGGCAAGGAAGCACAGGCAGGACCACTAGAGGACGCCCTATCTCCTTCTATAGCTATGTTCTTTCTTTCCTATTGAAGTGGTTTTCTCAGCCCAGAAAAATCAGTGTTCTCAGGTGACCCTTCCCTTTCCTCGCTCTAGCACTAGAGCCTACCATTAGAGGGCTTCTTAGGGTGACACGTCCACCAGTCTAGTGCTGTGCTCTACTCTCTAGGGCAGTGGCTCTCAACCTTCCTAGTGCTATGACTTTTTAATACAGTTCCTCATGCTGTGTTGACCCCCAACCATGGAATTACTTCATTGCTACTTCATAACCATAATGTTGCTACTGTCATGAATTGTAAATATCTGATGTGACCCCCAAAGGGGTTGAGAAACACTGCTCTAAAGTAAAGATCCCAGCGTTCCTAGGAATCCCACTGCATACACCATCTTTGCTTAACCAATGTCTGTATTATAAGCCTCAGTGTAAGGGACTTACAGCAAGGGATATTGATTATGTGCGACCCCGGATGCCCATGTAATCAATACTCCGATTTACTAAAGAATAAAGAATAGCTCAAAGGTTAGGAGTACTTGGTATTCTTCCAGAGGACCCAATTTCAGTTCCTAGCACCCATATTAGGTGGCTCACAACTGCCTGCAACTCCAGTTCCAAGAGATCTAATACCATGCCCTCTTTTGGGCTCTTCAGGCATGAGCAGTCACATGCTTGCATGCATGCCCTCGCACTCGTACACACACACACGCACACGCACACGCACACACGAACACACACACAGATGTACCTAAAGAAAAAATAAATCTTTGAAGTGCAGGTTTGGCTCCCAGTGCCCATAGAGTGGTTTACAACTGTCTGTAACTCCAGTTTCAGGGATCTGACACTCTTCTGGCCCCACAGGCACTGCATGCATATGGCACACATATAAACATGCAGGCAAAATACCTGCACAGGTAAAATAAAAGTCTTAAGAAACAAGGGAGAGGCTAAGGGTGACTTTTTAAGCCTAAAGTGACTTGAAGCTCACACCTTTCTGGGTCAGGAGTCACCTGGGTCCTTCCAGTTAGGCCTCTGGCATTCCTTTGTCACAATTCCAAATATCATAATCTGTTTTTCATTTTATTAGTAGACAACAATTCTCTAGGCTGCCAAGAACAGAAGCTTCACCTGAGAAATGCCCAGCAGCCTGTGATGTCTTACTTATGGTCTTCCTCGGAGGTTTCTCTCCATTTTGTCCCTTGTTCTACTGAATTTCAGGCTCCGGGAGAGGACTGGGAATCTTCAGTTCAGACTGACTGCCCAACAGTGATCACTAGCCACAAGTTCCCATGGAAACTTACATTAACAGGATCAAATAAACTAAGAATTCAGCTCCTAGTCTGCACTAGCTGTACTTCAAGGCTTCAGTCACCACACAGACTGGCTGGTGTCAAGAAGCGTGGCACAGAACACATTCACCAGGGTAACTGACGTCCTTTCTGTGTAACAGCCACGCAAAAAGCATCATTTCTAAGATCTTGGCTTCTGAACACTTGGTTTTTATGGTCTGATCAGAATACACAAGCCTGCAGGCGCCAATACACAAGCCATTTCCGACTCACTTGCAAATGGCTGGCTACTCCCTCAGGGACATCTAGCCACAAATTTGTCCTCCACAACTCCACCACTCATCAGTGTCTTGTGCTAACTAACTTCTCCCCAAAGCAGCAGAAAATGTAAAAAACAAAAACAAAAACAAAACAAAACAAAACAAAAAACAACCCAAGTCCAAGAGTTGATATCCTAATAGTTCTGACTTGAGAATGTCAGGTTTCTAGAAAATGTGATAGGTCAGCACAACTGACTGCCAAGATAAGAAGCAATAGTGCCTAGCACGTCCAATTTGCAAGACACAGGCAACAGGGTACTCACTCTTTAGAAGTTTAGATCTTTGAGTCAAAGAAACTTAAGGACCTGGGGGCAACGAACACTACAGATATGAACGGTAAAAGGATATTTATTTATTCATGCAAAGTGGTGCCAAATGGGTTCCTTGAATTTACTTGCAAATCTTTTATTTTACACAGAACTTTCCACTGTAGCATAGCTATGACAAAAGTACCATACGTTCTCGAATCTACACATGCAATCTCCCCACAGTCACCCACGCATGCGCCTTGGATGTTCATGCACAAACAATCAGAGAGCACTGAGATGGGTCTCTGTTCTCCCTGAGGAAGACAGAGTACATCGATGCTTGACAAATCTCAGGCCAATCTAGTATTATCCTATAAATGCAGCAATAAACCGATCCCTCTGAACTTTAACCCCCCAGGCTCTTGAGGTTTGTCTAAGGGACTGTCTTGTCCTAAAAGGTATCTTTAAAATGTTTTTAGACTTATTTTATGTGTATGAGTGTTTTGCTCACAGATATGAACTGAGGTTATGCATGGTTATATGCTGCTATCTGGGTAGTAGTAACCGAGTGTGTGTCTTTGGCAGGAACAGGAGGTGCTCTTAACTGCTGAGCCATCCTTCTAGCACCCAAAGGGTTCTTTTAGGAGAAGTGTTTCGACTATCTACCTCTCAGTATCTGATACAGCCTATGCATCTGTTCATCTAGTCACTGTTCACTGCATCCATGAGGAGCTGAGCAAAACCCAACAGCTGTACACGGAAGCCTCCACATAATACCTGTCTTACAGCAAAATCAAATACTAGTTTCTAGATTATGGTCCTACTCCCAGTTCCTGACTTCCAGGGCAATTTTCCATAGAAGTCAGCAATGCTAGCTCACGGAAACTAATAATCAGACTGCATTAAGATCATAGTGACTACCAGACGGGGGAAGGTCCAGGAGGGTAACCTCGAGCAGTTCTAGCCAAGGCAACTATGGTAGGTGGGCACTGCCTGCTAGAGGCCTGTGGGGCCATAGTATAGGGCTACACCAGGCCCTCAACAAATCACCTAGAAGCAATCTGTCTGGGAATGATCAGAAACCTAAGCTCGTAGCTCTGAATTCACCAGTTGTTTTGGTTCTGATTCCTACGTTCTCAGCTGTAAATGGAGATGACACCTGGTCCTCAGGAATGTTTTGAGACATCTATGGTAAATACTGGATCTACACTCACACAGTTTAATCCATAGTATGGACTTTGTGTTGGCCTAGACCCAAAATGTTCCAAAGATATGTGTGACCAGTAAAGAAAGTGATTTGAACGGGCAAAGTCCACCATCTTCAGTGGACTGACAGAAGTTAAATCTACTTACGGCTCCCCTTTAGTTAACAAGTGGAAATCCTGTCAGGTTTTAACAGTAGAATATGTGCCAAGCCAAGAGAAAGGGAGTACGAAGCATCAGAATCATGCTTCATCTTTGACTCTCAGATTAAGTGGGCAGGTTTGTCAAGCTTGTCATGTGGATTCTGCCTATGGGATAGAGGGAGGGGCAGGTCTCTAGCTGAAGGCTCATAAGTATTTGACGGAAACACAGACCACATCACAGAGAACCAGAGGCAGACCTTTGCCGAGCACGCTTCACTCTGGAACAAAGCTACTGGGCTTCTCTTCTGGTGAGTCATTTGCTTTCTTTTGTTGACTCTCTCTCGTGTGACCTGTGAACGTGGTGCAAGCTACTGAATACAGCTACTCATGGCCCCCATCCCTCACTGTCCTGGTTGCTGTATGGGCTAGGGAAATACGAAAACGACTTCAATGGTTCTGGAATGTAGCAAGTGGTTATAAAAGGATGGAAAAGGTAGTAATGGCATAACCAGACCCACCCAGGCCAGGAATATAGAGCAGTCTAGTTGCTGGCCTTCTATTTTTAAATCAGTAATTTTTATATTTTTAGTTCTTTTGTATCTAAAAAAGCCGAAATTTTATTGCCTTGCTTGTTCTTTGACTATTTGTGTTTATTGTCGTGCTTGTTCCTTGACTATTTGCATCTATTGTATTGCTAGTTCTTCAACCTAGAACTGACCTTAATATTTGCATGTAATTAAAATGGTATAAAGGCAAAAAGGAGGAGGGAGAATAGGATGAGGGAGGGGTTCTAGGGAGGGGAAATGGGGAAATGGGTATGATATCTGTATTGTAAATAAATAAAATATCCAATAAAAAAAACCAAAAAAAAAAAACCAACAAAAAATAAGCTATAATCCACAATCACTATCTACATTTTTCAATATAAATCAATGGGCAGCTGTAGGCATTGTAGACTATGAATAAATAAATAAGTAAATAAATAAATAAACAAAACAGATGAAATAAGTAATTTTTAATTTTGCCAAAGTCCAATGCCAGAGTTTGGTCCTTTAAGACTAGAGTCAAAATTATAACTGTTATCAAAGGGTCTTTAGACAAGAACCTATAGAATGTGTGGTTTGTGAAGCCTTAGAATTATAGGTGTATGGACCTTATTTCTCAGAGAAGGTCTAGAGCTTTATTGAGATTCTCACAGAGGTTTGTGACCACAAAAGGTTAAGTGCCGGGCGTGGCAGCATCCCAACCCTTTGGAGAAGCAGGAAGACCAGAAGTGTCATCTATTTGTTGTAACAGTAATAGCCCACGGTGGGTTTTGTTTGTTTTTTTTGTGTGTTTTTCTCATATTTATTCTATTTTCAGCAATTTAAATATACTGAAACTTCCAAAATGATTAGAAGTACTTCTTAAATATTTGGGTTACATCCTATGCTTTACATACAATTATAATTTACTATCAGGCTTTTTTTTTTTTTACATTACATCAAAAGTTTCATTACTTTTTCATTTTCCTAAATCAATATTTTGATTATAAAGAAATGTTAACTTTTTGTATACTGTATACGGGACAGTGATTTTGTGTGCTTATGGTTGTAAAGCAAGCATTCTACTGACAGCCACCTCCCCAGTCTTGTGATTTTCAATATTCTATTTGCACAGTCTAGTCCTTATCTACCAACATAACACTGAATACAGATTTGTACATTTTCTCAAGAGTTATGCTAAGGTTGGATTCAGAAAAGAATACGACAACAAAAAAGCAAATACAAGTGAGGTAACAACAGAGAACTGGAGGTAACTCTTGAGAAAGGAAGTTATTTCATATTTTAAATGGTGAAAAATAAATCGTCCAAGTGTGAGTGAACACGATACACACAAGTATTTGACACTATTTTAGCACCTCAGAAAGGTTTGGGGCAGGATGCCTACTACCAGCTTATCAAGACTAGAGATCTTGCCTGAAGTCTAGGTGTGGGGACTATCTACTGAGTAGCCTTGTTTTAAAGGCAAAGTCCTTCCTTGATGGTGAGAAAAGGCATCCCGGCTCGAGGGAAGGAAGAAGTAGCAGATGTATTAGGGTGGATATTGTTTCTGCCTAGGACTCAATTTTAGGGTAAGAAATGACCACATGGATTAAGAAGAGAGGATGTCTTCAACTTTTACGTGTTCTCGTCTGACCAGGCAATATTTTATCTTGGTAAATCTTACAGAAGTTCCACCAAACACATCTTTTTTCTTTTTCCTTTTTTTAAACTAAGTTTTTTTTACTGGATATTTTATTTACATTTCAGTTGTTACCCCCTTACCCCATCTCCCCCGACCCCCCGTAAACCAGGAACTCCCTATCCTATCCCCCCTCCTCCTGCTTCTATGAGGATGTGCCCCCACCTACTCCCCCATCCTCACCTCACCACCCTCGAATTCCCCCCCACTCGGTGTCCAGCCTTCATGGGACCAAGGATCTCCTCTCCCACCTATGCCCGACAAGGCCATCCTCCCCTACATATACAGCTGGAGCCACGGGTCCCTCCCTATGTGCTCTTAGGCTGGTGGTTTAGACCATGGGAGCTGTGGTTGGTTGGTATTATTGCTCTCCTCATGGGGCTGCAAACCCTTTCAGCTCCTACAGTCTTCTCTCTAACTCCTCCATTGGAAACCCCTTGATCAGTTCAATGGTTAGCTGTGAGCATCCGGCTCTGAATATGTTAGCCTCTGGCAGACCTCTAAGGAGACAGCTATATCAGGCTCCTGTCAGCATGCACTTCCTGACATCCACATCAGCGTCTACCTTTGGTGACTGCACATGAGATGGATACCCAGGTGGAATGGTCTCCAGATGGCCCCTCCTTCAGTTTCTGTCCCACACTTTGTCTCCATATTTGCTCCCTTGAGTATTTTGTCACTCCTTCTAAGAAGCACCGAAGCACCCACACTTGGTCTTCCTTCTTTATGAGCTTCATGTGGTCTGTGAGTTGAATCTTGGGTATTGCGAGCTTTTGGGCTAATATCCAATTATCAGTGAGTGAATGCCATGTGTGTTCTTTTGTGATTGGGTTACCTCACTCAGGATGATATTTTCTAGTTCCATCCATTTACCTAAGAATTTCTTGAATTCATTGTTTTTAATAGCTGAGTAATACTCCATTGTGCACCCAAACACTTCCTAAGGCATCTTTTAGAACCCACACCGGCAGGATAGGAATCTAGGACACTGCCAAGGTTGGCCTGGCACTCTCGGGCCAAATGCTGTCACAGCTGTCCCTACAATCAGGCCACAGGTTACATTACCCTTTGTCCTACTTGTGGTCCTTGGTAGTCACAGAGCAGAGAAGGGTCAGAAACACAACCATGGAGGATCAAGTCCTGGGCAAGAAAGGCAGGCACGTGGCCTTTACTGCAGACCCATTCAGCAGTCACCCTACCTCATGTGCCATTCTAACTGGCCTTCCACTGTGAAGAGACCTTTAGGTTCTGAACGGCTCATCAAGGAAGTTAAAGCCATGCCTCCTCATGGGGACATACACCTTCCTAGAGATTCCCCAAAAGAAAGCATCTCCAGGACCTGAGGCTCCAGCACAGACGTCAGAAACTGTTAGAGATGATATATGGAAGCGTTTAGTTTGGGGAGTCAGGGCAGTAAGTACCTTAACTCCCTGGCAACAAAGCCAGCTCTGTCAGAGTTCTGGGCGCTGGTTTTCCGTTTCTGAGTCCATTGCTCCTTTTGCACTGTACAGCTGAGGAGGAGTAAACGGGAAGTACTCCCCAGTCACACGCAGTCCTTATCATCCTCCAAGCCCCGGAGGACAACAGTAAGGAAGCCTCCTAGAAGAGGCGCTTGGTTTGGCTTTAGTGGTTTTTAACAATGAATGGGGCTATCTTAGTTAGGGTTTCTAACGTGATAAAACATCATGACCAAGAGCAACTTGGGGAGGAAAGGGTTTATTTCACCTCACATGTCCCGATCACAGTTCATTAAGGGCAGGAGCTGAGAGCAGGAACTGAAGCAGAGACCACGGAGGAGTGCTACCTACTTGGCTTGTTCTTTTCTAGCTTGAGTGTCCTGTTTTTTTTATAGCCCAGAGGTGTCCCCACCCAAGATGGGCTGGGCCATTACACATCAATTACTCATTAAGAAAACCCACTACAGACCTGCCTATAGGCCATTCATATGGAGACATTTTGTCAAGTGAGAGCCCTTCTTCTTAAATGACTCTAGCTTATGTCAAGTTGACAGAAAACTGACCAGCATAGGGCAGAGAGTGGTAAGTACCTTCTATGAGTCCCCAAGCAGATGGGGACAGGCCTTCATGATAGACAGCAGTCCTGTGTTTCCAAACAGTTGTTATGGACCTGAAGAGATAGCTCAGCAGTTAAGAGTGCTAGACAGTCTCCAGAGAATCTGGGCTTGATTTCCAGCATTGTATGGTAGGGTAGCTCACAACCATGTGTAACTCCAGTCCCAGGCAGTTCAACACCCTTTTCTGGCCTTGGTGAGCATTGCTCACATAAAATTAACAGACATACATGCAGGCAAAATATCCATATACATAAAATATATAGAAACATAAAATACAAAACAAAAATAAAACAAAAAATCCCAAAGGGCTACTGTGTCCACTTGACTGCAGAGTGACAAACACGGGAGGAACCTGAGATGTTTACAGTTTTTGAAGAGTCCCTCTGGCTGAGCAGTCTTCCCTGGGAAACAGCCATCTTCAGCACAGTGCTATTACTGAGCCTGATACCAAATGGGGTTGGAGACAATTTGCTTTCTAGATGGAGTTAGTAAGGACAGCAGGAAGAAAGAACGCCACTCAGTCAGACCCACATATAACTTTTATGTTTTGACTCACAGATGTTTGCCCCAACAGATGCCATGGATGATGGGCATCAGGAGACAGATCTGGACGACGTGCACTATGAAGGAGATCCCTGGCTCTTCAACAATTCCAGTGATAACAGCCAGGAGAACCAACGCTTCCTAAAGTTCAAGGAGGTCTTTCTGCCCTGTGTGTACCTGGTAGTGTTTGTCTTTGGACTGCTAGGGAACTCCCTGGTTCTGATTATATACATTTTCTACCAGAAGCTGAGGAATCTGACAGATGTGTTCCTGCTGAACTTGCCTCTGGCTGACCTGGTGTTTGTCTGTACTCTGCCCTTTTGGGCCTATGCAGGCAGCCATGAGTGGGTCTTTGGCACAGTCATGTGCAAAACTCTTCGAGGCATGTATACAGTGAACTTCTACGTGTCCATGCTCACGCTCACCTGCATCACGGTGGACCGCTTCATTGTAGTGGTCCAGGCTACCAAGGCCTTCAACCGGCAGGCTAGGTGGAAGAGCTGGGGCCAGGCCACCTGCTTGCTCATTTGGGTGGCCTCCCTGTTGGTTTCTTTGCCACAGATCATCTATGGCAACGTCGAACGCTTTGACAAGCTTATCTGTCATTACCACAATGAGGCGATATCCACTGTGGTTCTTGTTATACAGATGACTCTGGGGTTCTTCCTGCCATTGCTCACTATGATTCTGTGCTACTCAGGCATTATCAAGACCTTGCTTCATGCTCGAAACTTCCAGAGGCACAAATCTCTTAAGATCATCTTCCTTGTAGTGACTGTGTTCCTGCTGACCCAGACACCCTTCAACCTCGTCATGTTGATCCGAAGTACAAGCTGGGAGTACTATACCTTAACCAGCTTTAATTATGCCATCATAGTGACAGAGGCTATAGCATACCTTCGGGCTTGCCTTAATCCTGTACTTTATGCCTTTGTTGGCTTAAAGTTCCGGAAGAACGTCTGCAAACTTATGAAGGATATTGGCTGCCTCTCTCACCTGGGAGTCTCACGTCAGTGGAAGTCTTCTGAGGACAGTTCCAAGACTTGTTCTGCCTCCCACAATGTAGACACCACAAGTATGTTCCAACTGTAGTCGGCCTTGCCACACTTGGAGAAGCTAGTATCAGAATTCTTAGAAGCAGAGCTATATCCTTTGGATGCAACAAGAAAAGCTTTGCTTGTAGCACGTGGAGTGTCATGGTGAAGTCACTGAACACTGTGGCTGGTATGGAAAGCTTCTCAGATATAAATATACCGTTCTTAATATCTAAGCCTAATGCTCAAAGAAGAATGTCTTGAAGAGAGATTTTGAAGCAATTTCTCTCTTTCATCCCCAAGAATGGTAAAATCAAGGTCATGACGGTTAACTCTAGAGATCTCAGGTTCTCTTTTACCAAGTTTGGGGCTAAAAGTTGAAAAGTTGCATCAACAAAGATGTTGATGGCAGATAATATACAGGGCTCCTGAGTTTAGAAGATTCTTCAATGGGCAAGCAGTTGAGAGTTGAAAAGCCCCTACATAATACTGCTTGAATGAGACCAAGCTCTGACTCCTCCAGAGGTCTGTCTGACTTTTGTATGGGTGGATGCTTATGTTTTATTGGACTTGTCTTGGAAAGAGCAGCAATAAGGGACTGAAAATAGGCCAAAATAAATTAGCTGAATTTCAGTGGTCCATGTAATGCTAGAAAAATATATAAAATAGAGCTTAAGGCTATAACAAATACAAGAGGACTCTGGTGGCTTTGCTCATCTAAAAAAAGAAAAAAGAAAATTTCCCATGCCTGTGACACATAATATGTACATACAAATATATCAAGTATTTTGAGTTTCATGGTAAGAAATAAAACCCTTTAAAAGTTTTCAAACTGCTTTCATCTTTAGATGCATTCTACTTTAATTTGGTATGCCTGAACTCAAAACAGAATAAACCTTCACAAACTGCACAAAAACAACCCAGTAAACTTCTAGGCCTAGAATAAAGGAAATAAGTTAAAACTAAACTTTGTGGGCAGTGGTCTATGAAGGAAATGGGTTATACCAATGGTAACAATCTTGCTTTCATGATGGTTTCCTGCTCCTGCCCAAGATGTGGGGTGCATATGTTCAACTTCTGTAATTCTTCTCAAGGATGAGGTGATTTTATATGCCAGACTAGATTGATGCTGACTAGATCCTGGCAACCAGATGACTAGGACTATAGGCACTTGTTGAGTGTTTGTACTACCACATCACTCACCTAAATAAGAACATCTACCTTAAAAGGCTGAGAGAATGCACAGGAGGCTAGATAAACCTGGGCTCAGGGCCTGGAGAGAACAGCAGCCTAGGGCTGCCTCCACGCCCTTCACTAGGTATGACCTCAATGAAACAAATCAATCTCAGCCTCTCAACATGCTTGTGCCCATGGCTCTAAGTCCTTCCCTTTCTCTTTCCTTTCTTATTATACAGTCATGATTAGTTTGGAACTTGCTATGCAGACCAGCCTGGTCTTGAACTCACAGAGGTCTACTTGCCTCTGACTCAAGTGTGGGGTTAAAGACATATGCTAGCACACTTGACCTGAACAAATCTCTTAACCTTTGGCTATTTCCTTTTAGTGAGAAAGCACAAATCTCTCAGTTGGCTTGAGGAGGACTTGAGATAATACATAGCAAACACTTAGCACTGGCTAAGGTGGTTGCTCAGTTGGTAGATACTTGCCCAGCAAACATGGAGTCCTGGGTTTGAACCCTGGCACTAGATGTAACACCTAATTTGTGGGTGAAAGATCTTCAAACTGGCACAAGTTAGTTCTTAGAACATACAGTAGAGGTTCCTTATGCTATCTCTAAGGGCTGGTGTAGTGACACAGGCTGTTGTGTGTGTGTGTGTGTGTGTGTTTTTCTAGACATGTAGGACATGCCACATGGATTCTGGCTCAAAAAATTTGATCACACCTTGGAGTCCAGTCTTGGTCCATGGTCCCTTGCACCATATTATCAAACACACAATCAAGAGCTGTAGTACACTTCCCTGTTATATGCAAGTGACACACAACACCACGTGCTTACTCAAAACAGCTAGGCTGCTTTATGCAGGGTGATACCGGTAACCTTCAGTACATACATCTTGATTTGCAACACTGGTGACGGAGAAGTGCTGAGTCCCCTTCCTTCATATCTGACTTCCCTAATAGCCCAGCTCAGGAAATGTGGGCTCTCAGTGAGAAGAGAGATGAGTCAGGTGACAGGGCCCTGAAACTATCCACCCAGGTGGTCTAGAGATATGGCTGGACACTCAGCAATCAGAGAGAGTGCCACCCTAGGCCAATCCAAGAAAGCCTTTTCCAAGGCCTGGCTCGTCAATCCACACTGCTAGGTGACAATGCTCTCTGGGTTATTTCTGCCCAGCTGTCTGCCCAATGAAGAAATCAGACGAGATGAGAGAATCTTCTGGACCATGCCTTCTTTTAGGCTTCCCATGGAAATGTTTATGCGGGCCTTTATGCAGTTTAGAGAAGCTTGCTTGTCTGTTGGCAAGAAAATACAGCAATAGAACCTTCCTTCTCTCTGCCTCCTCAGCCACTATTCACCCCATTCTCTGGCTATCTTCCTACACATAGGGCAGATTACTATCTCTTCCTGTACCTACACCATCATTAACAATAAATACACATACATCCAAACCAAACCAAACCAAACCAATCCTCCAAAGCCCAGCATGTTAGAGGGCTTGTGCCGTCTGCAGGCTCCCTGCACAAAGGCTGCTGCTCCAGGCTCCACTCCCTCAGAGGTATTAGAGGTCTTAAGCACTTGCCATCTCTTTCCCCCACCTTTGGTTCTCCTCACTCTTAACAGGAGATTATATCAAAGGCCAGGCTGCTACATAGGGAGTTAGAGCTGGATAAATATGGATCTTGCCTGAATCCAGACTGTCCTAGATGTGTTTCAGAGCTGAGAACAAGGACTGTGTGTTCCCCTCCCACTGGGCTCCTCATTCCCGAGGATGGTGGAAATGCTTATGGGTTCTGGCTCCAGTTAGACACATGACGGCCAGACACAGCTATGTTTTCAGAGAGGTGAACGCATGGTGATTCCCTTCTAGGGACCATCTGATTACCCGGGAATTCTTGGAGTCTTGGATGAGGAGATTGTGCCACAAGGCAGAAAAGGGAGCACAGAATACAGAAGCTGTAAGTCATCCTACCTTCCACAGGGTTTTCAAAGTAGCATCCTGGACGGGTGCCCAGTCCTTCAGGTCTATAGTTGCTAGTGCTATTTTATAGGTAGCTTGGTACTGTCATTTCCACTTTCTGAGGAGAACTGAATGAGGAGTGGACCTTGTTAGCAGCCTCTCTGCTCCTAAACACTGTCCACAGAGCTTTCAGGCAGGTGTTATATCACACAAGGCCAGACAACTCTGTACTCCTCCACAGTCACAGGTTTTGGGTTAATACAGGCATAAGGTGGTTTCTGAACTTTAACCATGATCACCATATCCTGTCCTTGTTTTGTTTCTAAGATAGCAGGCATCAGATCTCTTGGCTGGTGAGCAAAATTCTCCTGTTAAGCACTCTGGCCACAAAGCCCTGGTTCTGAAATGATTGGCAAGCAGGCTCTGAGGGAAGGTTTCAGATCATTTAGTGTAATCTGGGTATCTGAGGAGGAAGGCTTTTTTTTTTTTTTTTTTTTTATAAAGATGATGAGGCTACAAGTTGAAGATACCGAGAAGCATATGTACATAATAGACATGCACAACACAGGCTGACATCAAAATTCAGCATCAGCATCAGGAAAATTCCATCTCTCCACAGGAGCTTTCTGTCTCAGGTGGTGTCTCTGATCGCCTTAAGAAGGGTAAGGTATTCTAGTCTCCCTAGCACAACTTAAAGGAGCTGCACTCGGAGGCAGTATTTGCCATTGCCATAGGGCCTCAAGGCTTGTTTGGGTCTGGAGCTTATGTGCTTCACCCTGAATGGTCAATATATCTGGTACCTTGAGAGCAGGCCAGGTCTGGGAGGCTTTGGCTGCGTGTGAGCTGGGCAGAGACCAAGGGAGCCAACTATCTACTACCTCAGTTCGGAGAACAACTGGCAATCTGGGTAGGACACTGAAGGAGAGGGTACAGACATGACTGAAAGGTTGTAAAGGGCATCTATCTGCTACAGGTGAGGGCTCTGCTCCTGCTAAGATAAGCCAGCATGGGGAAAGGACAGCTGTCAACAGGCAGTCCTGTTAGGTTTCTCTGGAAGGCTGAAGCTGGATTTGGAGACTTTTCCTTGTTCCACCATTCCCAGGAAGAATCAAAGCTGAATTCCTCTAGCATTACTTTGTTCCTCAGATTGCTTCCCTTTCCCTCTAAGTTTCCTGAGAGGACTGGTGGTGCAAGTCTAGGGCTCTTGTGGAGTGCTTTTAGGGCTGCTTGGCAGGAACCTGACATTTATCAAGGACAATTAGGCTTCAGGCAGGAATCTAAATCTTAGTGTAGAATAAAGAAGTAGGCTTCAGGCATGAAAATGACTTTGGGCTAGGACAGGAAAGTAGGCTCAGATATTTTGGTCATCCAGATAAGCCCTTAGAAACAGTGATCACAGGATTGATCACCGGACTTTGTTTATTGCCTTGCTTGTTCTTTGACTATTTGTGTTTATTGTCTTGCTTGTTCCTTGACTACTTGCATCTCTTGAATTGCTAGTCCCTCAACCTAGAATTGACCTTAATACTTTCATGTAATCAAAATGGTATAAAAGCAGACTGGGAAAAAATAAACTCGCCTCAGCTTCAGAACTGGCTGGGGTTGTTCTACAATGTTGTCTAACTGTCTTTTTCTTTTGAGTCCTCATTCCTGCACTGGAGAACCTGTTGACTGACTGAGCTGGCTTGGTCAGGCTCTCCTTCCCATACTTTCTCAGACTCTTGATGTCTTTGACTGAGTTTTAAACATGGGAAGAAAAGGAAGGCTAAGGAAAAGCTCCCATACATACTAAGACACAATCTAAAGTGTAGAAAGGTGGTTCTTCACTTATAAAGGTGAGATTCAAGGACTACAGGTCCCTATCAGACAATCCCAGAAGATCTGTGTTGGCCAGGCCAGAGTGCTGGCAGTTTCCTTTCTCTGGAACAGTTCCTGATTTCCCAAGACCAACAACTATACACACTGGTCAGCAGTCTGGAAACTTTCTGTTCCTGTTCCTACTAGGAAAGAGGAAGGTGATGATGGGGGAGGGAGCTAGAGAGTAGTCGCCTCAGACAGGTGTCTGTGAGAAGACACTTTAAAATCAATGTCATCCTCCTCTGGGCCGCCTAGCTTCTTGGTTCTACTCACCCATCTATTCATGTGTCTTGCTAGAAACCAATGGCAGAATGTAGTTTACTGCTAAAAGGAAGAGAAGAAATCCTGGGGACCACTGTGTCATGGGGGTCAGGGTGAACGCTGATGACTACTGACCAAGTATGTGTCAAAGAAGTGTTTCAAAGGAGAGAGTTGGTCCAAAGTCACAGAAGCAACAGGAAACAGGAGCTATCTTATGTTTGGTAATGAAAAGCTTTGTCCATGAGTGAATTCAGTGCTAGAGTCATAGAACACACAAGTGTGGAGATACACTTAAGCCAAAATCTAGGCTAATATCCTCAAGAGGATTAAGTGCAGTCCCTCCCATGTGGTAAAACTTGACATGGTAAAAGTGACAGGTGACTCCTGGTCCTATTTTGGACTCTGGGGAGGTCAGAGATCTCACTGAGAGTCACCCTGAGCTCACAGAAGTCCTTCACCACAAGCAGAGTTGGGCTTTTGAGACTGGATTAGCTACTTCTCTTATTGCTTCTATAAAATATCCGACAGAAGTAAAGATTTATTTTAGCTCAGAGAGCATCAGTCCCTCAGCAGC